GAAAAGACGAGGGACGATTGAAGTAAAGTGAAGTAAATTTGAAACTGAAGTGAATTTTTAAATTGGAGTCAAGTGTACTAAAAACATGTTTAAATTAATATATAAACCTATTTTGTTATAAAAATCTAAAAAACCGTCAAAATATATGATGCAAAGCCTTACAATCTAATAAAATATCATAAATTGCAAAAAATCTTAAAAATCTCTAAAAAAGTATTTTTTTTGCCAAATTTATATTTTTTTGAAGTTTAAAATATCTTATACAATTATTCACTATTGAGACTTGTTCTGTTAAATATTAGCTGGCATTTATTTAAAAAAAATAAAATTAAAGTAGCAAGAATATTTCTTATATTATCTTTATTCCAAAGTCAACTTTTACACTTGGTTTTAAACAAACTGGTTTATTATTCAGACTTGTCTTTAAAATAATAATAATATTCAACTTTTTGAATGTCAATCGTGTAATTTCTCTTTTGCAAATAAGACAAGACCAGACAACTTGACTTGTAGACTTAAAAATTGTCCATGAGCCACATTTGTGCAAAATTTTAATAAAAAAGATAATACTTTATTTAAAAATGTACTTAGTTATATGTATAAAACTATTAAAAATACCTCTACAACTCTATATCTATTTATAAAAATTATATATTTACTCTATATTTGAAAAATCACATCATGTATCCTATTAGAATTTGTTGGTCTTCCTTAGAGTCCATGTTTCTGATCCCTGAAGAACCAAAATTAAAAAAAAGTCCTTCAGATCACTTTGATGATCAGTACAATCCTTTTTTATTTTCCAATTTACTATTAAATTTGTGAATTTCTTAGAATCCATGTCTCTGATATTTATTATATATGTATGTGTATATATGTTTCAGATGACCTTAATTACGTAATGACTGATTTTTTTTAATATGATTATTCATTAAAAGTGATTGTTGTAAACTTGAAAATTGTCTAACTGCTTTTTTTCTCACATATATCAGAAGAAAAAATGTGTTATCCGAATTGAAACGAGTTGTCTGAGAGCTGGGAGAAAAAAATACTAAGTATAAATTAAACTTTTTGAAAAAAGTCTGAAAAAAATATAGTTTAAAAATAAAATAAAATCTATTGATTTTTTCGTATATATTCACTAATGAAATATTCATGAAATAATTTTTTTAATTAAGTAATAGAAAATTAAATTAAATAAGATATAAATATAAATTAAGAGTGTTATTAGTTTTTAAAATTATACCAAATGCAAACACAGTTTTCTTTTCTACAATTTTTGAACTTAAAATAAAAATATATAAGTTTAAATATTTAATTTAATTTGATTTTTTTGGACTAACTTTATGGACGCCCACATTTTTGTTTAACACGTTTTAATCGATTTTAAATTTGGCACTAACTTTATGGATTTGTTAATTAATAATTGCTATAAACAAAGAAAAATATCGTCTACGATCTATTTAACACGTTTTTTTTCCATTTTAAATTTTGGAACTAACTTCATGGACTTTAACTCTACTTTTTCCAATTGTCAATTTATTTCCTAAGTGTTTTTACTCTAAATTAATTTAATACAAGTCATATTGTTTTTCAAATTAATGTGTTATTGTTTTTTATATTAATTTTATTCTCTGAGTAAAATTTTCCACCAGAGCCCCGTCTATTTCAAGATGCCAGAAATTCATGAGAACCAAAAAGCCGTAACCTAACATTTGTTGCAAAGTCAATTAATTATCAAATAAAAATGTTAATTAGTGATGAGAATTATTTTTAATGCTTACGAAAAATTATATAATATAATTGTGCATTATGAATTAATGAATGTATTTGGCAAGGTGACCCATAATATAAATATATATATTTATATGTATATATAAATATAACATATATATATATATATATATATATATATATACAACTTTTATTATTTATATATTTTGCATATATTTTGCAACAAAAAAAAATTATTAATAATATAGAAATTTAAAGTTATTTATAATTATTGAATATAACACACAAATATATTGCTAATTGAATTCAGAATTATGTTAGAAAAATATTATACTAAATTGGAGACACTTTTTCGGAATTTTCTCTATAGCTTGGAAAGTTCTTCGGGGATACGATAACTAATTCCCTTAACTAAAAACTAGATTAAATGTACTATTTTCTCTAATTATTACTTTTATAAACTCTCATACAAAAAATAAAAATAAATTGAATTGAAATGCAAACTCATAATGCCCTAATGGATTACATATGATTTTGAGACAGAATTTTAGCCATAACTTGAAATTTTTCTTCAAGACTTTACAACTAATTGACTGTACTAAAATCTAGATAAAATGTACTATTTTTTCCAATTATTACTTTAATAAACTCTCATACAAAAAATGTAATTAAATTTAATTGAAATGCAAACTCCTAATGCCCTAATTGATTACATATGATTTTGAGAAAGAATTTTGGCCATAACTTGAAAATTTTCTTCAAATTTTCACAACTAATTGATTGTACTAAAATCTAGATAAAACTTACTATTTTCTCCAATTATTACTTTTATAAACTCTCATACAAAAAATTAAATTAAATTTAATTGAAATGCAAACTTCTAATGCCCTAATGAATTACATATGATTTTGAGACAGAATTTTAGCCATAACTTGAAATTTTTCTTCAAGACTTTACAACTAATTGACTGTACTAAAATCTAGATAAAATGTACTATTTTTTCCAATTATTACTTTAATAAACTCTCATACAAAAAATGTAATTAAATTTAATTGAAATGCAAACTCCTAATGCCCTAATTGATTACATATGATTTTGAGAAGAATTTTGGCCATAACTTGAAAATTTTCTTCAAATTTTCACAACTAATTGATTGTACTAAATCTAGATAAAACTTACTATTTTCTCCAATATTACTTTTATAAACTCTCATACAAAAAATTAAATTAAATTTAATTGAAATGCAAACTTCTAATGCCCTAATGAATTACATATGATTTTGAGACAGAATTTTAGCCATAACTTGAAAATTTTCTTCAAGACTTTACAACTAATTGACTGTACTAAAATCTAGATAAAATTTACTATTTTTTACTATTAACACTTTTACACACTTTCATACAAAAAAGTCATAAATAGGTATCTCTCTTTTTTTTTATATATGATTTATTGGCTTTATAAGCTAGTACATTAGCCATATACTAAATCTCCCATTTTAACCAATAGTAGTTTTAATTTTAGTATGAGGGCAAATACTGCAATTTATAGCAAATGATAGTAAATAATATTGAATAGTTAAAGTTTAATGTTAAGTAGATACTTAAATAAATAAATTTATATATATATATATATATATACAAGTACAATTTGCCTGCAAGCTAAAGTTCATATGAATTCTTTACTCGGTTTTACTTTCTCTTAAATACTTCATCAGTTTCTCTTTCCTATGACCTCAAAATAATATTATATACCTGAATATATATATATATATATAATTATTTATAAATATATACATACAAATAAATGGCAATTTTACAATTTAGTACAACACGCACAAATCTGACATAGAAATTCCTAGAGATTTTTTTGCAATATTTAGATTTAAATTTAGTTCTATATATATATACAGATAATATTGTTTATTATTTAGTTTTGTAGACTTAACTCTTCGCTTTTTTCCAACAATTTTTATTTTGGCACTTTTGAAAAAATAAAATTCAAAAAAAAAAATAGAAAAACATTCACCAAAAATTAATATGTACTAAAATAGATATATAATTTGTAGATTGAATTTAATTTATTTTTTTAAGCATTAAGTATAAAATTTCTACATACAAACACTTCATTTATCAATTATATAATCCTACTGCTTTTGTTTGATTTATTTTACTTGATTGTTTTATATTTGTAACAAATTAAATTTCTTTTCTAAATGAATTCCCTGTATTTATTCATGTGAAAACATTGACCTGAATAATTTAAGATAAAATTTTAAATTAAGATTTGTCAACGAGATGAAAGAAAGTGTCAATTTCACTTTGACACAAAAAATTTATATGAAGAGTGACACTAAATCGAATAAAAATTATAAAGTATCGATAATAAATTATTTTTTTGACAAAATATTGGTAATATAAAATGAGTTATTTATATATTTATATATATATATATATATATATATATATATAACAAATCTTTAGCAATAAATTACTTTTCATGTCGTGCAATGTTTCTTGCAAGTTTTCGCTTTCAGAACTTGTACTTGTTAATTAATCATACAAAATCAATTATCTAGAATTTTTTATTCATTTATAGATCTCTAAAAAAAGTAAAAACATGCGGAAAATTAATAATACGAGAAATGTTCAATTTCACTTCAATAATAAAAACTATACAATCACGAAACAAACTAAAATTAGTAAAATATTTTTTGTGTTCTCTGAACGTTTATTTTACACCGAATTGTTGTAGGATAATATGATGTTATACAATATTTTAAATTGTTTAATTTCGAACAAATTTGCCAAATATACCTTTTGTCTACAAAGTTTAGTTTAAAAGTTACTATAAATGCAACCAAATCCTCAATTTGTATATAACATCAAAAACCCTCAGTGTACGCGTTTCTCTCGCACCTGATTGCTTATTTTATAATATAATAATAAACTATATTCATCATTTAAGTTGTTTATAATATAATCAACTAAAATTATGTGTGAATTCTTTTTTTATCGTTGTCACAAAACTGAGAAACGAATTCGAATGTTATTCGGTGAAATAAATTTCTTTTGCCCACACGTTTCTGTCCATTTTTGGCAAATTGTGTGGGTACTAAAGAAATTTATTGGCAACAGTGAAATTTAGAATTAAATTTAAACAAAAATCCAATAATTTCAAGCAAAAGCATATAACATTAATATTAAAAATATACAAAACGTAGCTATTGTATGGAAGCTTGTCTGATTTTTATTTTAATTTTTCTTTTAGAAAAATGAAATGGTTCAAAAAAAGCGGTGACACACCCCGTCTCCTAAGTCTCTCACCTTTGCGAGTCGACCAATCGGAGCAGAGGTTGCTGGTGACTCCATCTATGAGCGGCAACGATGAAGTTGCAAGACCTTCGCACAGTCGAAGATCACGAATAGGTAAATTTGATTCAAAATATCTCGAAAATTATTAAAGATAGTGAAAAACGTTTAAAGAAAACTAGATGTAGAATTGTATGCTTAATTTTTTAGTTTGTACACTTTTGGTGTATGTTTGTTAGTTTTTGCGGGATTTTGCAAAATGTAAAATGTTGCACCGGGAAGAAGCAAGGATTGCATAAAGTCTTCTGGTGATATCTCCATAATTAGCAAAAATATTTCAAAACGTTATATGAGGCAATAATATACAATTTTATGCTGTATACGTTCGTCTTGGACAATTTTTATATTAAACTTATAATTTTGGCAATATATCAATAATTATAAAAACTCACATGGTGCTTAGCATCTGTTTTGAAGTGAATGTCAAGGTTTTAAATCAAAATTTGTTATACTTACCTAAAAACTTTTAAAGACTAATTTGTGTAGAATTTTATGCTTAATATTTATTTCTTTAACATTAATTACCTTAATTTGCAAAATCTTACAAAATGTAAAAATTTGTACCAAGCAGGTGCAAGGATTGCATAAACTCTTTTGTTGATATCTCGATATTTAAGAAAAATATTATAAAACGTTATATGAGGCCATAATAAGAAAAATATGCTGTATAAGTTTGTCTTTAGTGATTTTAATATACAACTTATACTTTTTGCAATATATTGAAAAATTCATTTATATTTCTATGACGTTAAAACTCACCTTAAACAAATAGTTTTAGTTTGCGTTTAAAATTTTTCTGATAATTTTAAATAGACGCAATAGATAATTTTTCTTATCATTTTTGTATGACTAACAGAAGATAAAATTGTTTATAATATTTAGCAACAAAAACACTTGTCTTTAATTATTTGTGCGGATATAAATTATCGCTTTTAAAATTCTATTAGTCATTTAATTTCAAGGTTGTGTTTTTGTCTGTAATTTTTTCTTATCAGACGGAAGCGTTTATAATTATCATGTAATATGTATGTACATATATATATATATATATATATATATATATATACACACACATATATATATATATATATTAGACATTTACAAATAAATATCCTACAAAATAATAACTATCCCCTTTCCACTATTTATTATCGATTTCATCGCGATTTATGATCGATTTCTCGTGACTTATCGCCTCATATCGCCATATATCGACATATCGATAACCATAAATACAAATATCGATGTATCGATAACTATAAATACAAATATCGATATCCGTTTGCAAATAGAATCGAAATCGTTTGCAGTTTGTTCAGAAAACGCGAACAAATCCGTTATGTCGTAAAATCTTGTGATTCAACTGGTTTTGTATTTTATATCTTATTCGATATAAAATACTGAGTCATCGGATTCCTTCACTAGAAATTGTGTTTATTTATAAAATATTGGTTATATAATGTTTTTTTGTGCGGTTTGTTGGAAATCGTTGCGCACTGAGGGTTGGAGGAAGACACAACATTTTTGTTCTGGGCCTGGTACGCGTTTGCAAAATTTTAGGATAAATTTTAGACTTACAGTATTTTTGTATTAGACAGGTTTGTAGTAGATAGAATTACAATCAGTTTCTGTATTATAAGTTTTGTCGTAACTATAATAGTTTTTACACAATGTTGAAAAGAGTAGGAAGATCGAGATTAAGTTGCTTGTGCACATTTTATGCCCCTATTTGCTGTATGTTTTGTATTTTTGACCGGTACGCCCAATTTTTATAAAATATTCGGCAATTTTGTACAAAATTAAACCGTTGACAATATTGTCTAACATCATAACAATCTGCAGCAACTCGGTATACTCTAAAATTGCAATACAAAACCTAAATGCAAAATTTTAATTCCTCACATTTTGTATCCCTATTTGCTGCATCTTTTGTATCTTCTGAACGGTACATCCAATTTTAATAAAACATTCGACAAATTTGTTTAAAATTAAACATTTTACAATATTGTCTAACATCATAATGCTCTACAGCAACTCGGTATACTCTAAAATTGCAATACAAAACCGAAATGCAAGATTTTAATTCCTCACGCTTTGTACCCTTATTTGCTGCATTTTTTATATATTCCCGAAGGGTTAATCCAATTTTAACGAAATATTCGACAAATTTTTACAAAAGAAGCCGTTAACAATATTGTCTACCATCATTTAACTCTACAGCAACTCGGTATACTCTAAAATTACAATACAAAATCTAAATGCAAAATTTTATTTCTTCACATTTTGTGTCCTTATTTGGTGCATCTTTTGCAACTTTTGAACAGTATATCCAATTTCAATGAAATATTCGACAAATATGTACAAAATTAAATAATATACAATATTCTAAAACATCATTATGCTCTACAGCAACTCGGTATACTTTAAAATTGCAATACAAAATCTAAATGCAAGATTTTAATTCCTCACGCTTTGTGCCCCTATTTGCTGCTTTTTGGTATCTTTTGAACAGTACATCCAATTTTAATGAAATATTCGACAAATTTGTTTAAAATAAAAAAACAATATACAATAATGTCTAACATCATAACACTCTACAGCAACTTCGTATACCTTAAACCTCTAAAATTGCAATCCGTTATTCAACTTATCCATCTACATCATCTTGCATCATTTTTCACACACGTCAGTCGGTTTTTTCTGTGTCTTTTGCAAGAGAGTAAAAGGTAAAAAGTGTAAAAAAGTAAATTGAGTAAAAAAATGACAGAAATAATTATGAAGACGATCCCAGGAGCAATAAAATACAAAATGACCGCAGACACAAGAAGGTAAATCGTCGAGATCCTGTTTAGGCGGAAACTGTAACAGCTTTTTGTTTATTTATTTCTTTTGCCAACGAGAAAATTATTATTTCATAGGATGACATGGATAAGAAATTATATGAAATTGAAAGATGATTTGTTGTGAATGTAACTAGTGGTGTATGAGGATTTTTGCTAGTGTCTCCTGCACTTTCAATCTTATTTCATTTGTCTTGGTAATTTTACCAATTTTTCTATAATTTTTTTTCCAGATCAATCTGGTGGCACCTGGTCACCAAGAAAATCCTCCTCCAATTGCTACCGAATCAACAATACGACATCAACATCATCATCAACATCAAACGATGTTGTCAACCTAAATTCCAGTTACCATTTGTCAAGTCAACAAAAATCTAAAACTTTGAATGCCTTGTTGACGAATCGTCAACAAAGTGTTGAAGAAGACTTTCAGAACTTCCAGAAAACTCACCAGAGAAAAACTTTGGAGAGGAGTGGTAATTTGGAAAAAAGGAGTTTTGGGGATGAAGATAAAAGTGAGTTAGATGGTAGGTAAAAAGATGAAAGAAATAATTTTTTGGTTTTGGTTGAAATTTAAGGAGATTTTTGGATTCTAGGAGCAAAAAATGAGTTTTTAGCTTATTTTGGGCTTCAAATAGTTTTTCTTTGTCAATTTTTATAATTTTATTTTTTATTTTTTAGATCCTGATGGTTCCTTAAAAATCGGCGACATCCACAACCTCCTACACACAAGTACACCAAAATCTAAAGTCAAAATCGATTCCTTGTGCTTCACTGCTAAATTAAAATCAATGTCCGACAGGTATGTAACAAATGTATATAGTTTGTTGAATTCATTGTAACTTTTGAACCGTTTGCTGATTAGTATGAAGTGTTCAGGAAATTTATTTGAAATTGAATAATCTACGATATTGTTGAATATTATAAAGTTGTAGATCAACTCGGTTTACTTCAAAATTGCAATTGAAAATACACAAGTAGTATGAGATCAATAAAGTACATGTAACTTTTGTAGCGTTCGTAGATCTCAAACTATTTGGTTTATGTTAATGATGTGTTTGGAAAATTTGTTTAAAATTTAATAGGCCAAAATATTTTCTAACATTATGATGACCTAGAGCAACTCGGTATACTTTAAAATTGCAATTGAAAATGCATAAGTAGTACCTGAGTGCTAGAAGTGCATTTATCTACTATATATCGCTTGTAGATCTTAAACCATTCGATTTGCATTGATGATGTATTCAATAGATTTGTTTATAATTAAATATTGAACAAATTTTGTTAATAATAAAATTTGCTGAAGTTACTTGTTCTGCTTTAAAATTGCTGTTGAAAATATAAAATTAGTGTGAGCATTCTAAGAGTGCAATTAAACACGTGGATTTTATTTGATCAAGTTGCGTGTAATCCCGTGTAATGTTTTTTTTAAATATATATATATATATATATATATATATATATATTAATATTTAACATTTATCTATTACTACGGTACATTCTGCATATTTGCAAAACAAGTCGGCGGCAATTAATTAAAATAATATTTGCCGCCGCGGTTATTCCGAATATTTCCGATAAGGAATTTAGATAGAGTTCTACGATACGAAAACAAAAAACACCCGAAGACTGTTATTAAAATTGTCTGTTATTAAAATATTAATAACAGAATTTATGACGGAATTAAATTCATGCATAAACATAGGTAATAAATAGTATCGATTAATTGCTTTGAGAATATTTTGCATTAAAATTTTGTTATGGTGTTATGTAACTGTTAAATGAGAGGATAGTAGAATTAATTATTTTGTTTATATTTAAAAAATAAGTGCAATTTATGGAACTGTTTTGGTCTTAAGAAAACTATCTTCTGTATGCACCTATTTACAAATCAGATTTATGAGTACTGTAGTTCCATATTAGAAGTCGATTTAGGAGTTTATCAAATTACTCTAGATTGTTTTGTTGTTAACAAAAAATGTTTATTATTCAATTCTGAATCAATCTGCCATATGCACCATTCATGCTAACCGAATGGTTTAAGATCTACAAACGATATAAACAATGAATGCACTTTTTCATTCTAGTTAATTCCAGAACACTTCTACGTACAATTCAGAATTATTAGTAATATAGTTCCATATTCGACATTGATTTAAAAGTATACAGAGTTGTTCTAGAGCATCATGTTATTAACAAAACTTATTTATTATTCAA